ACTATACCACTCCGATTTGATTGGTAAATTGGTGCTTGTGCTGTTGTTTAAATTAAATAGATGTCATTATCCGCAAGTTGAACCTGTCTTTTTGCCAGTGTTCACAGTTGGTGAGTGAGCCCTCCCTGTCCTTTGTCTCGACCCTTAAGCCTTTTGTTATATTTTCTCCTCCCCACCCCACTGGGGCAGGGGGTAGGAGTGAGCATGAGGATGCATGATGTTTAGTTGCTGTCTGGGTGGGCCTAAACCACAACACAACCCTACTTTAGACTGCATTAAAGCAGACATAAAGCCTAGGAATTCTGCTTCCTTCCCCTATGTAGCTAGGAGTCTGTGAAAAACTCAATTTTTTTTTTTTTTTTTAAATTTTAAAAAAGTGCAGGACTGATAAATGTCAGAGCACACTGGAACACGCACATAACCTGACAATCTCCAAAGTAGCTACATCCTTCCTGTTACTCTTTTCCTTCACCTCTTAATGGCCTAAAGTATCTGGGACAGAACAACCAGACAAAAGCAACAAGCATTTTTAGAAAGGCACTGCTGTCTTCCAGCAGGAGTATGGTTTTACATCATCTTCTGACCATCAGCACTCTCATGCTCCTCTAGATTTAGTATTCTTCTTGCTCTTTCCTTAAGGTATATACTTCTTCAGATGTATATTTGCTTCCTTCTTACACACTAATTAATTTTCAGGAAAAATGCAAACAACTAAATTACTTGTCGTTCAAGGTGAACTATTCCTGTTATTTCATTAAAGGAAGCTGCTTCGTTTTATGAAAACAGCCAGCAGAAAACTCAACTGAACTCAGCATTGGATTTTATCAATTTGGTACCATACTGATGCCTAGCTGATGTATGTAACCTAAGAAAAAGGTGGAATTTAGCCATTTTAATACCAAATCCTCTGTTTTATGTGTCAACAAAACAGTAAGCCAAGACTGAATAGCTGCTTTGTTCAACATATCACACAACATTACTCACAATCCCCTTCAGTGCAGCTGCTGAAAAACCAGCAGCAGTAAAGACAACAGCATTTTACAAACTCTGCTCAATGCTCACACCCCAACTTGATTTGGTTGACTTATACAGGCAAAGAGAGTTAATGTAAAGTTGTAAAAGTAAAACTGGTTAAACAAGCTGGTAACATAACATAATAAACAAAGTCTCTCTGTTTTATTAACAGCTGAAGTGCCTAACCCAGGTACTCTACTCACGTGTTGGAAACTGAGGTAGACATGGGTTGCCATCATCTTGTTTGAGCTGGATTCGTACTCTACCTCTGTACTGCACATCTCTGTTCCACTCTCTAGGATACATCTTATTCTTCTATCATACAAGAAGAGAAACTTATTATAAAAGTACTTGAATAATTTTCTGCAAAATTTGTCAGGCAATTGATCTAAGTCTTAGCAGCCTGGAATTCTGAACAGATGTAAGCCATCACACAGGTTTTTGTTTCATCTCTACAGCCACAAACCCTTCTGGACACCTAGAGTCACAGGCTAGAGTCTCAGGCCCACTGCTTTTGGATACTCACAGCCTTCATTTTTGTTAAAATGTCACAGGTTTCTTAGTGGTACTGGCTATTTCACAGGCTGGTGTGCATAAACAGGAATATATTTGACGACTTCCGAAAATCAAAGTGATTTTGTATTGGTATTACCATACCAGTCACACTCTTCAATAAGGACCTGAACTCTTAAAAATTCAACTGTATTTTAAATGAATAATTACTTCAGAAAACAAATTGCAAAACATCGTGTCATTAGAAACCCAGACTCACTCCCTAAGAAAAAAGTAACCAACTTAAACTACTTAAAGAGCAAGCAGGTATTGCAGTAAAAAAATGAACATTCTCCGGCTAAAATGTAACTCCAAAGGACTCCGAACATCCCAAGCAGTAGAATCCTGTTCCTATAGGACACTCATTCCAAAAGGTAATCACCTTTCATTAACAATATGCCTTTTTAAAACTTAATTTTCAGAGTTGCAGCTTACAAAATTAGCTTTTATTCTGACACACTTTTAAGCATCTAGGATAGTCTTCTCAGAAGCACAGTTAAAAAGTCATCTTTTTATAAGCTTAGAAGTGGCATT